GAATGCCCAGTGTTGGTGACCTGAGACCATGAGGAAGTGGTCAGCAGTGTGGGAAAGAAACCAGTTGTGGGGCCAGAAGCAAGTGCTCTGGAGTCCAGGACAGAGGCAGGATCGACCTAGGTGACTGGTGGTGCGGCTGCTGCCCCCAACTGGATTGGTGGTGTCCAGCTGGCACATTCTCCCTCCATCTACTCATCTGCTTCCAGATCTCTGCTGGCCACAATTAACGCACAGCTGACAGACTGCCAGCTGAAAGTCAGTATTTGAGAGTGAGAAAGTAGACTTGACGGATTTTCTTGTGAGCACCCAGGGGACTTGGTGACATGATACTGCTGTTCAGGGTTTATCTCTATCCTGAGTGCTCACTACCCCTTAAGTTCTTGAAGGACTTGTGACAGGGAATAGTCGGTCAGTCCTGATGTTGAGGAGTCTGAGCTGTGCTGTAACTCTGAACAGGGTTGATGGGTTCATGGTAGCTCCCCTGTTCTTCCTGCTCCTGGATGTCTTGCTCATGCCTGTTCTTTTTCTCTAAAGAACTCTCTGCCTATGTGGTTTCGTTACATGAAAGGGTATGAGTGACTTTTGAACCTTGTTTCTTTTCAGAACCACCACCACCACCTAAAATGCCCAAACTTGAGACCACTCACCCACCGTTGCCTCCAGCACACCCACCTCCAGGTACGTGCCTGCCCACACCACTTGCCCAGCACCTTTGGAACCACCTACTGGGGGATGACCTGAGGGTCCTGCAAAGATAACTGTGTGTAAGGAGCCTTCAAAACTGCTAGTTTCACAAATAGGAATTTTTAGATGTTGTAAACTTGACATGTCACTGACCAGCCACATCCAGAAATACTAAACTACATGAGGTAAATGAACTTTCGAGAAAACCCTAACAGCCAAGAAACGTTAATCCAGTTCTGAACAGTTGCTCTCAGGCTGCAGTCTCACCTGCTTCCTGTTTGCAGGATGTCTTCCTGATGGGTTGTGAAGAATGAGCAACTGTTGAGAGTCACTGGAGAGTAACAGAAAGGGTATAGAATTCCCACACTACATGGGACTGGGAGGCTTCCAGACAGCTTTCTTTACTTGTACTTCTTTCCAGAAATGGGCGCAAGAGAGCTGGTGTATCCCAGGAGCCATGTACCTCTGACAATTGGCTGTACTGACAGGTGGTGGGTGTGTCTGACTACCCCCAGCTGTGGAGCTCATGCCTACAGCAAACAGCTGCCAAAGTAGCTTTCCCTGTGTCCACGTGCGGTCACAGAAGCTTAAGTGCTGTGAGAACAGAGGTGATATGTTGTGTTCTATGTGGAGCACAATCCCAAGTCCCCATTTGAAGAGGTCTACAGCTGTGCTTAGCACGGGTGGGATGTGGCACGTGTAGGGAGGCCAAGGTGTCAGCAGGTTGTCCCCACCCATGCTCAAGGCCACGAAAGAAGCTCCTATAGGTGCCTCAGGTCCTGTCTCTTCCCTGCAGAGCACTGGAGTTCCTGCTCAGTTGGCTGCATATCAGTCTAGGACATAGATGGTACCTGGAGCCAGGTCAGCTCCAGAAAGGCCTGGTTGGAGAAAGTGTTACCTGGCAACCATTGCTTCTCTGCTGGGAGATGTGCGGCAAAGATGGACGAGTAGGCTAGGCTGCAGGCATGCCCTCAGACACTCCCTGGGTCCTGTGGTAGCTGTCCATGAAGAAGGGTCAAAGGAGGAATCAGTGGTAGAGAAAGGCAGAGCTTTATGAACCCAAGAAATGTTAAGGTCAGCAGCCAGGGTTAGAGGACATTGGGTCCTTGAGTGGCAGTAGCTTGTGACACAGAGGTGAGACCTCTACCCCAGCACAGTACAAGGGGAAAGTACTCTGGGAACTGGACAAGCCAGAGCTAAGAATCGCAGTCATCCATTTCTTTTTTCTTGAGGGTCGGGTTCAGTTTGGTTTTTTGAGACAGGGTTTCTCTGTGTAACACCTCTGGCTGTCCTAGAACTCACTCTGTAGACCAGAGTGACCTTAAACTCACAACGATTCACCTGTCTCTGCCTCCTGAATTTGCTGGGATTAAAGAAGTGTGCCACCACTACCCGACTTTTTTATAAGGGTGTAGCCCAGGCCAGTCTTGAATCACAAGCTTTCCTTGTCAGTTTCCTGTATTCTTGAGATTACAGGTAGACATCACCTGTACCTGACCCCAGAAGTCATTTATTTAAGTTGGATATGCATGTTCACAACCCAGGTGATCATGAATGACATAGGAAGTAAAGGAGTTAACTTTGATGTATACATCACTTAGCTTCTGGAACTACAGGGCGTTGTCTGCCTCGAACTTTAAGCAGATCCCTGGCAGATACATCTGACCATGTGTTGGGGGAGGAGGGTGGCTGCTGATCTCACAGCCAAGACCCTCTGACAGATCTGTTGCCTTCACCTTGGTGAGAACAGGGTAAAGCAGGTACTAGCTGTGGACCATGTAAAAGTGTGGTGTGGCTGTGCCCTCGCACGTTGGCAGGCTCCTTCACTATCCCACGTCCGCTTGCCCAGTTAGAACCCAGCGTCTTTCACCCAGGGCTTCTTGAGGAGCCGGAGATGCTCGTCACCTGGCTTCCCTTTAGGTGCTCCATAGCCAGCAGGTTTCTCCCGGGATTGTGTTCCTTCTGAGCAGCCTTGGGAAGGAGAACACTCGATATGTGTGTGGTGCTTTGCTTGCATATATGTCTGTGCGGCACGTTCATGCTTGGTCCCCATGGGGTTAGGAAAGGGCATTGTGGAACTGGAGTTACAGACAGTTGTGAGCTGCTGTGCAGATGCTGGGAACTGAACCTGGAGCCTCTTGCAAGAGCAGCAAGTGCTCTTAACCCCTAAGCCATTTCTGCATCCCCAGAACACAATTTTTGAGTGCATGTGTGATGGTGCTAGGGGGATTCCAGAGGTTCAGCCATGACACGTGATTACTGGCCAAGCCAAAGCCTACTGTGAGGCTTTTGGAGAATAGAACCACAGCCATCAGCTGTGGGCAGGTACATGGCCTGCTCTGGATGCAAGTCACGAGTGCTTCTGCACGCTTGTCCACATGTCCGTGCTTTGCATCTGAGATGGCAGTGAGCTTGAGCTTTCTTTTAGTAAAACAGACAAAATGACACTTATGGAATGCTGGTTGTTAGACTTTTATGTCATCTCTGACATTTGACAGGCTCAGGCTTTGGGAACAGAGACAGGCAGAAAGCCCTCCCCAGTGTGCTAGTAGAGGTGTACTGGGCTGAGCCTGCTTATGCCTTGTGTGTCTGGTAATTAGGGAGGGGACCCAGCATCATGGGATGTTGTAGAAGGCCTGTGGGAAGGGTCAGGTGCAGGGCCTCTAGACTTGTTGACCACAGAGATGGTGCTACCCCTCGTCCTTGTGTAAGTAGCCCTGGGGAATGGCAGCACCATGAATAGTTAGGCTGCCAGGGGGCCCCCAAAAGCTGCTTGGCCATCTTGGCCCCAGGGTCTTCCTACTTACATGTCTGTCTCTCTTCTACAGACCGGAAGCCTCCCCTCGCTCCTGCCTTAGGTGAGGCTGAAGCAGCTGGTCCAGTGGAAGCAAGTGACCTCCCCAAAGTCCAGATTCCTCCCCCAGCCCACCCGGCACCTGTGCACCAACCCCCACCATTGCCACACCGGCCCCCACCCCCACCTCCCTCCAGCTACATGACTGGGATGTCTACCACCAGCTCCTACATGTCAGGGGAGGGCTACCAGAGCCTGCAGTCCATGATGAAGACCGAGGGTCCCTCTTACGGTGCCCTGCCCCCAGCCTATGGCCCACCTGCTCACCTTCCCTACCACCCCCATGTTTACCCCCCCAACCCACCTCCACCTCCTGTTCCTCCCCCTCCAGCTTCCTTCCCCCCACCCACCATTCCTCCCCCTACCCCAGGCTACCCTCCACCTCCCCCTACCTACAACCCCAATTTCCCACCCCCACCTCCACGCCTGCCCCCTACTCATGCAGTCCCTCCTCACCCTCCTCCAGGTTTGGGTTTGCCACCAGCCAGCTACCCGCCTCCAGCTGTTCCCCCTGGGGGGCAGCCCCCTGTTCCCCCACCCATCCCCCCGCCTGGCATGCCACCTGTTGGGGGGCTAGGGCGGGCAGCCTGGATGAGATAACGGAACGCCTTTCCCCCAGTTTGTTGTTGTTGTTGTTTTGTTGTTTTGTTTTAAAGGCAAGGGTTTTCCAACCAACTTGAAGAGTAGATTGGGCGGGTAGCCGCAGGGTACCTTGTATATGCCAGAGTTACAATATGGGAGGGCCAATCCTGGGATGAGAGCAGTGCACCCTGGGTAGTACCTGGTTGGTGTGACTATACATCCAGTCTCCGCTGCCGTCTGTGTCCTGCACCGGGACTTATACTAGTGAAGACGGTAAATAGCCACATTGGCTCCGTAAATAGCTTCAGAAAGGAGTAACTTTCCCTCTAGACATCAGTGCCTAATTTTCCTGGGGACTCAATTTTTGCAGCCGCGTCTCCTCTCTGCTGTTGTTCTTCCATTCAGTGCTTCTCTCTGTGGCCCTAGTAGGTGAGGTGGCCCGCTTAGCTTGTGACTCTCCGTCCTCTTTGTCTGGAGGGACTGGCGTGCTGGGTAGCTGTCCCCTTTTCTCCAGGGAGAAAGGAGGTGTGTACTTGGAAAGTAATGTATGTTTACATCTCTTTGCAAAGTCTTGTACATAGAGATATATTTTTTAAGTGTGAATGTAACTACATACTGTGAATTCCATCTTGGTTACAAATGAGAATCCTTCAGTCAGTTACTCAAATAAAATCGTTTCTTGAAACTGTCTGTGTGGAACCCAAGTAAAGTCCACTGCTGAAGAAAACCAGCTTTGGAGGAACAAGTGTTCTGGGTGACTCAGACTTCTAGAGGGATCAGGAACCTTCCCATTCCCAGTCTGGGAGTGACCATGAGTGGTTATCAGTGCCCACTGTAGGTCAGCCATCAGCCCACAACAGACAAGCACCACACACCCACCTCGCAGGCTCACAAAGAGGCCTTTATTATCTAGTTCAAATAGACACTGTCACAATCTTATTTGTTACTCCTTTTACTAAAATAGTTCAAATCAATGCTTTTACCACACTATCAAAAGTTCTATTTTTCTCTCTCCACAAATCAAAGTGGTTCAATAGAAGGTAGAAACAGCCGAAGTCCACAGGCTCCAGCTCTGTACACAGCCAGGGCAGGAGGGGGCAGCTGCAGGTCTCACCGCCATCAGCGCCTACAGAAGACTGGCCCAGGGCAGGAAGCCGGCCTTCCAGCCCCTCCCAAAAGCAGCACACTTTCCCCCACAGTATGAAAATATACACCTCTGCCACTCTGCAGCCATGCATTTAGTCTGTTTCTTTAAAAAAAAAAATCAGTAGTATCTCACTTCCTCTCAAGTTTCAGGAAAGAAAAATGAAAGGTCACTTTGTCTTTAAACACTGGCTTGTGGCTGTTGGACGGGAGTGAAAATGTGCTCAGCAGATTCTGACTCCAGGGTAGGCGAGGCCACCTGGATGGGCCCGGTGGCCTCCGTCACAGTGGGAGGTGGAGCCAGTGCAAGCATCATGTGAGCTTGAGATGGACAGCATTGCAAAAGCTAAGGCTCCAGATTGGGGGAGGGGGGAGCCTGGAAGACCGCCTGCCCTCCCCAGCCCAGGGCTCACGGGGTTGCTGCTAGCCCCTCCTGGCTGTTAGGTTTGAGATATGACAGACAGACTGTCCTAGAGAGCTAGCCCAATGCTGAAAGCTGGGGCAAAGTTTGCTCCACCCTGTGGAAAGGCAGAGGGTTCTCCAAAACACGTTCTTTGGATTCCCACGATGCCTCTGCAGCATTAGGAACTGGGCCACACCTCTCCAGAAAGGCCAGTCTCCAGCCTCCAGGAGCCCTTCCTTACTTATTGCTTATGTCAGCGGTGGCTAAGCCATCCTGATACAAATGTGACTACCTGGGACTCCGGGACGAGGCTCCCACCTTGTGTGGACCCATTTACCTCAGTGTTATTCTGGGGTTCCTTGGCCTCAAAGAACCAGGAAGGGTCCTGCCTGCCCAGCAGCCCACTTAGCAGAAATCACCAAGTACCCACGCCAGCAGGCGGGGTGCCAACAAGTTAATCACTTGACCATACATCAGCTCTTCTACAAAGAGCTTCCTGGTGCCCCACAGCCAGAGCGGTAGGCCTGTTCCTGTACCCCTGCACAACGCCCCCTGGGTACAACGAGGGCCATGGGCCTTTCCCCTGAGAGTGTGGGACCCAAGGGTGCAGCAGCAAAGGTGAGAATGGCCCAAGGTCACGGCTTTGCCTGGGAGGGGAGCCAGGATGCCACCCACCTTCTTGGCCTGTCCTCTTTGCTCACAGGGTGTAGGTGGGGCCTGAGGGAGACCTGCCTGAGGCGAGGACGCGCTCTTTGGGCTGAAGTGCTTGCTGCACGGGGCTCGAAGTACCATTGAGCGAGGATGATGCCAGCAGCATGGCCTGGTCTTCCTACAGCTCTCGAGTTATTACTCATTTTCCTCACGCCAAGTTAGAAAACATCCCTGTCAGTCATGCTTCGCAGTCTGAGGCATGATCATGTACACTGAAGCACTTACTTCAGTCCGTAGGGACTGAGGCTCAGAGAGGTGACCTGTGAAGGAGACAGCATGGCCAACAGGCTAGCCACTTAATATGTTCCCAGTAGGACACCACATGAGCTCATCTGTTTTGAGAGACGGCAGAGGAACACCAAAGTGGGGTGGTTTCTGGAGTGAGCAGAGCAAAAAGGAACCTCAGCCCATCTTTTTACTAGGGGCTCAGAGAAGCTGAGTGACTTGCTGAAGGCCACACAGCAAATTAAAGCCAGAACCAGGTCATGCCCCTTCCTTCCCAAGGAAAACTCATCAGGGGCGGCTCCTGCAGCTCCATCCATAGTGACCCTGGGTGCACCTGGGGGTAGGCTACACTGACCCAGCTCCATGGCCCAGTTCTTCCCGTCCACAGAGAATGCTGAGCTCAGCCCAGACATGTTCTAGGACTTCCTATGTTGCTGTAAACCAGAAAAGGAAACTCGCAGGAGAGACCTAAGAGACGGCTAAGCCTGGCATGGGCAGGGACGTTGCCAAAAGGGTGGAACGCTAATAAGCAGCAGCTGGCAGCGGGGTGGCTAGGGAGGCACCAACCCCCAGGTAGCAGGGAACCCTGAGCTCCCAGCCAGCCATGGACACAAGGGAGCTGGTGCTCCATAACCCAGGGTCCTGGCCATGGCAGAAAAGTGCCACCTGTGTCACAATTCAGGCTCTGGTGGCTTCTGTCCAGTGTGAAGGCTTGACGAGGGGCTTCCACCAAGAGCAGGACGGCCCCAGACAGTCCCTGGAGTCTCAGAAGCTTGTTGCTCGAGGAACATGGAACTCAAACAGGGAGCCAGGCTGCCTGGCCATTCTGGGGCAGCAAACATCCTGTGGCTTCTTGTCTTCCCAAGGTTTGCTGGTGAGGGAGCAGGAGGTGGCATCCTGGCCGTCAGTGTCACACCAAGGCAGCCAGGGTGGGCCGTGTCCTATGTACAATTCACCAAAGAGAAAGATAGTGGCTAGGCCAGAGTTTCTGCCAGGTCCAAGGTCTGACTCGAGGCAGGGCCAGTTCACATCCGTGGAGGAATGGCCCTACAAAGGCCCCTTGAACTGGTTACCAGACAGGTGCTGCCGGATGGAGGGCTTGGTGCTGGCAGCATCTCCCAGTTTCCTCCAGACCACCTATGAGGAAGGAGAGACATGGCATTAGGGAGGGCTCACCCTAATCCTACCCACTGGCCTCACATAGCTACTGCCTTACCACCCTGCAAAAACCACCCATGTCTTCAGAGCCGTGGCGCTGGGAGAGTCAGCTGAGGCCACAGGCAGGTGGCGGAGTTGAAACTCAGCCTTTGCCCACCGCCATAGTTCTGCCTGACCCCCCAAGCAGCCCGCTGCTAGGTATGAGTGCATCCTTGTAGATGCTCAGTGGTGTCCTGGACTCAAGAAACAACATGAGGTACAGCTCTGGGCATCCCACCCGACCTAGACCCCAGGTTCAGAGCCTGGGAAAGCACTTTCCCGCCCGCTGCTGTAGAGTCCCATGGAGATGACAAGTGGTAGCCGGGAGTTGAAGGTGAGGTTCTCCCACAGGGCCGTGTTCCACTTGCAAGGTAAGAGGCCACCAGGGGGCACCAGTGAGCAAAGAAACCGGGGCCCTAAAACTGGGATGAAGACTAGAGTTCAGGGTGTCTAGAGCCCCAGGCACGGCACTACTGGGAAAGGACGGATCTGGTGAGAGGTCACGGGCCTCGCCTAAGGGGAAGGCAGAGTAAGTGGTAATGAGCCAGGATTCCCAGAGGCAGACAGCTTCCCCCAGCCAAGGCTGAGCAAGTGAGAAGCAGGTAACTACACTTCCAGTGCCCCGGCCCCGCCCCCCGGCCCCGCCCCGGCCCTGGCAAGTGCCTCACATTGCACATCTCTCGAACGATGGCCTTCTCCTTCTCACTGAGGTCCTCCTCACAGCTGTCTTGAAGCTGCCTGTCAAGGTTTTCATGTACTTCCAGAACCTGAAAAAACAAGGGTCAGATGGAGGCCAGCAACGAGACACTAAGGAAACCAGGGAGGTTGGGCAGGGACTTCAGGTAGACTTGCTCCAAGAGCCACAAAAGAAGGTGACAGCCTGTGCGCATCCATGCGGGACACAGCAGTCTCTGCTGGCAGCCATTAAGAGTGCGTGTCACGCACATGTGTGGGTGATAACCACGCTACATACCCAAAGGAAGGCAGGAGAGCCTGGAGTACCGCTGTGCTCAGGTGGCCAAGCCCACTCTAGACACCAGATTCTCTTGAAACCTGCCTGCTTGTACCTGGAGGCACAAGGCTAGCCTGGACCTTCGGGCCTCTCCTTGGCCTTAGGAGAACACCTGCCCTCCTGTACCAGGACAGTTTCCCCAGCTGCAGCTCCTCGGGCTGGGCAGACCACTGACACACTCCTACCACATCCAGCACAAGTCCCATGGCACTCCAGGCCACCAAGGAACAGTCTCTCCTGCCCACTGTTTGAGTGTCCTGAGCTTGGAGATACAGCACCCGTGGGAACCTAGCTCTCGGGACCCCACGGCCCCGCTGTGTGCTCGGGAGGGACAAGCAGTGCCTTTTACCTTCATGGCATGCACAACAGCCTCGGGCTTCTGTCCTGCAGAGCTGTAGGCGGTGGAAGGAGAGGGCAGCTCGGGTACAGGGCAGGCGGGGCCCTGTGGAAAGAAGGACACACATGAGGCCCCTGTCACTGGGATGAACTCCAGCTTTGGTTACATGGAGCCAACACCCAGACAAGACCAGATAGGATGGAAGGGGGGGGCGCATGGGTGAGAGCTGGGCACCCTGGAGCTCACCTCTGCCTGGCTAGTCCCATGCTTTCTGGCCACACCACCTCTGCTACAGATTGCATGGTGGCTAGCATAGCCAAAGGGGTGGGGGGCTCTCTATGTGGGTGGGGCAGACCCTGGATGTGGTAGGGGAAGACTCTGTATGGGACAGAAGACCCTGTATGTGGGGGCAGGGAAGGCACCGTGTGTGGGGGCGGGGAAGACCCTGTATGTGGGGGCAGGAAGACCCCGTATGTGGGGCGGGGAAGACCCTGCACGCTGTTCTGCAGATGCAGCATGGGCATCTCAAGAGAACCAGAGATCATGCTACTCAGCAGGCTGAGGAAGGAAGGACCGGACCCAAACCCCCTATCCAAGTCCAAAGCCCACCCACCCGTCCAAGTCCTGCTCCTACCCCTGGCCTATCTTCACCACCTGGGTGGCCAATCAGCCACTGAACACATGGTCAAAGGTAAGAGCATAAGTCAGACCAGGCTGGGCCAGGAGGGGACCCAGCCGTCAGAAGCTGAATGTCAAGTACCTGACCCAGCCAAGCTTCCCTCCCTCCTGCTGGCCATCAGCAAGGCGAGGGCTTCTGCCTTGGGCTACAGTTACAGACCACCATGGGGCAGTAAGAAAACCCCAAGAAGTGCCCCAGGGGCAAGTGGGAAGGGAGCGCTCTGCAGCCAGAGCCCTAGACGGCTGTACCCTGGTGCCTGGGGATCAGCCTGAAGGCAGAGCTACTCCCTCTGCAAGACATGGACCCTGAAGATGCCTCCCAGCAATCAGAGAAGCTGAGCCAAGAGGGCTGACTCCCGTGCAGCCCTGGCCATTCTACTAGGCCACCATACAAGCCCAGTAGGGGCCTTATGGCTGTCCTTACGCCCAGAGCCTTCCACTGACAGCTCGCTCACCAAGCCCACTTCTCTCCAGTCACCCGGCATAGATGATTCCCAGGGCCTCACAGGCTGATCTGCTCCTGTTTGCACCAACCAGTGCCAGCACGGGCATGCAGATTCCACCCCAACGGGCTTGGGCTCTAGAAAAGCCACGGTTGGGCATGGTCCCTTCAACTGGCACTTGATTCATGCCTTGGCCTGTGCTGAGCCTCAGTTTCCTCCCTTGAACAAGAGAAAGCGTCCTATGGTCCTGGAAGCATGCAAAACCCTGGAGAATGCCCAGTGGGTGTGTCTGGAACTCCAACCCAGGCTGCCTGATTGGTAAATATAGAAACTGAAGAGGGAAAGGGAGTGAGTGGGTCAGGGATGCATTACCCGCAGGGCTACTGCCCAAGATAGCTCAACTAGAGTGGAGGTCACACTTCCCCCACTGGCCAGCAGAGGGTGCCAGGCAAACGAATAAAGAGGGGCCTGGCCCGAGCACCTCATCCTAGGTGAGGGGTGCCCATACCCTTCCCTGTGGGTTCTGCCACCCTGTCCCAGGGAAGATCCTATATCCCAGTTCACCCTGATGCCACCAGCCTAGTTCCTCATCTGTACCAGTTTCTAACTAACTGCTCTGGGCCCCTCCAGGAAGCAGTCACAAAAGAAATGCAGGGGGCAGTTGCACGGATTGCTGTGCAGTCCAGCCCTCCTGGCTCAAATCACCCAAGCAGTGGGCGTAAGGGAGAGCAGGACCTGGGGTGCTGCAAAGGGAAACAGCCATTGCATTGCTCAACATTTAATGACCGAGCAAGAGGGACTGAGGCGCTGGGGTTAGCATCACGAGGGCCTCTGGGGCCTCCTAATCACAAGCGCCTGCACTGGGCAGGTCCACCCTGAGTGACTAAACAAAGCCGTCTCCCAGATAGGACAGTGCGCTTGCTGGAGTCAGCTGGCGTACGTAAGTCTGAGCCTGGCACTCGGGACTGAAAGTGTAGAGACCAGCTTTTCCCAAGCCGCCTGCCCAAGCCTGACTGCTCCTGTCAGGGATCTGGGATTACAGGCTCTCCCCTAGGCTGGCAGCAGGGAAGGGAGGGGCACAGCTACCTGCACACTTTCATCTGGGGACTCTGAATGCTTGACCTTGCTGTCCTGCTGAACCCTGTGTGCCTTAAGGAGACTGACCCCGTGCGGAGGGGGCAGTAACCTGGCAGTCTCAGCGCGGAGGGTCAAGGTGACCAGCCAGGCCCATAGCCTTCCCCTTTGAGCCTTCACTCCACGCCTTCAGTAGCTTCAGTAACTGCTATGGCTGGCATCTGCGAGGCATCGCACCCTAAAGGCCTGCCTGTCACCTCAGCAACCCCGCCCTCTGCCCTTTGGCTCACTATCCTAAACAGGGCATATGACTTGAAGGCCTTCAGTTCATAGCCCCCATGGAACAGAACTATCCGCCGGTCCACAACCCCACACTGACCCCTGACCTCCAAGCCCATTTGGACACCAGCATGCCCTTTCCCATCGGGTCCTATAATCCACTACAGCCCCAGAAGGCCCACTTCCTCCTCCCCAAAGCAGTGTGACAGCCTCTCGTGGGGTGAGACACAGGATGCCCCTGCCATGGCCTCCACCATGAAGCCGTCCAGAACCTTCCCTCACTCCCCGAGCCTTCCGTCGGCACTGCTGGAGCCTGGGGCGTGTCCTCTAGAGGCTGTGAGAAGCAGGGTCGGCATCTGGCAGGCCGACCCACCACGAGAGCCTACGCTGCACTTCACAGGTGCAGGTCATTTGACAGTCTCTCGTTCACGCGGTTCAACGGGCTGTTCTCGGTCTTTCTACACCTCGGGAACGGAGGAAAGCTGGCCGAGGAGTCGGGCCCCCGGGATGGCATCACTTAGTGCTCTGAGCCCTTCGTCACGAGGCAATTAGAGTATCATCTGGCCACGGGGCTCCCGGATAAGTGTGTGGATGTCTGCAGCCTGTGGGCTTGGCTGCCTGACAGTGTCAGCAGGTGGAGAAGGCAGCCAGGCTTCGGGAGAGAAACCGCAGACGGTGGCTGTCAGTGGTAGCACGAGCCCTCTCCATGACCCACCAAAGCCACAGAGGGGCCAAGGTCAACCTTGCTGGTCATCATGGGGGAAGACAGAGCAGGAGCTGGACCCACACACTGCCCAGGAAGTCCCCACAGATGCCCACACTGGAAGTGCCTAGCACGTAGGTGCGAAGCATGTGACCAGCCACAGGGACTCCCACGGGGATACTCCAGTAAGCCCAAGCAAGGTGGGGGCCCTCACTGTCCTACGGAGCACGTAAGAATGGCAACTGCAAGGCATCCCACAGCCCTCTCTGTAGTCACACAGGGGTGGCAGACATGCCTGCCCACAGAGTGTGACCCAGAAATGGAGGGTCACTTCATCAGAGCTGGCTCCAAGATGCCACATGTTCCCCATCCAAGGCAGGTCAGAACCCAGAGAGCATGCAGCAGGTAGCCCTGGAGGCCTGTGGTGGTCCCGGTGCAGAGCCTACTAACTTAAGAGGTTTCAAACCTAGCTCCAAAGCCTAGGGAGGGACCCCAACCCTAAACCTCAGCCAGCGGGCTTCCTCTCTGTGCTACAGACTCACGAACAGCACAGAATACAGTGTTCACCTGGCAGCCCTGCCATGGCCATCAGACACTGCCCTTAGAGTCTAGCAATGTCACATACCCAAGGCTTCACTTCTCGCCTTCTTAGCGGGCCCCCATGAGGCTCCCATGATGTAGAAGTTCCAGGGTCCCTTCCCCAGGGTAGAGAGGAAGGCAGGTCACTCGGGGGCTGGCAGTCCAAGCCCAGGCTTTTGCCCATGGCTGCCCTAGACATAACTGGGGCTTCAAAGACCACCTGTATGCCCTGAGCTGCCACCAGCCTGTTTGAGCTCTGTCTCCTCTGGAGCTCAGAGCAACAACTCTAAAGGTTCTGGGCCAGGAACACTGGGGATCTTCGGTGGGGACACTTACGTTCTGCAGGACTTCCTGGTAGGAGGGTGGCAGGGACGCAAGCTGGGATTCTGAGTGGTATGGGGAGAATCCTTTCCGCAGTGTCCGGAACTCTCCAGAACCTGCCTGCTGCAAGGGAAAGGAAGACAGAGTCAGATCCAGGAATGGCTGACAGATTAAGGCCCCTCATGCCAAGACCTTGCCCTGACCCAGGCACTGTTCTTAATAAGCATGTTACCCTCTGCATGGCAATGTGTCTGCTCAAACACACTCTCCTAGATACCTTATCACAGTTCACAGGCTGCCTCTGCCATAAAAGACCCCGACCCCGCCCCCACCCGGGAGTCCACAGGAACCAGTGCAAGCCGGTGCCTGAAATGGCAGTGGGAAAGGAGGGAGGATGGGCACACGTGCTCCCCTAGGAGTAAAAAGAGTGAAAAACAAAATCTCTGCAAGCCAGGCGAGTGACCCAAGGACCAGGGAAACCTCACGGCGGACAAGGCTTGGTCCAGACTTTCTGCCTTGCGGGTCCAGCCTTCCTTCCTTCCTAAGCCACCGAGACTTCAAAGCAGAGAGGCACGGGCAGATAAAAACTGCAGAGGAATGTCCATAAATCAGCATGCTGCTGAGTTCCCCAAACAAGCCAGAAAGGGAGGAGGCCAGGCCAACTGACAGGAAGGGGGCAGCTGTGCAGCAGTCCTGTATACGTATACGGGGTTCCTCCTCCCACCCAGCCGCCTGCTCATCCAGCCTGGGAGGGATTCCCACATTCCACTGCTGGCCTCCTGCCAGTCACGGGGCTGAGCCCCTGCTTCTCAGACCTCCCATCACCCAAATGCCAGAGGCGCTGGCCTTCAGCACCTGCAGGTGGGGACCATGAAAGCTCAGATGCAAGTGTCCAGACCATCACACCAAAAGTCGGCATAGTCTCTCCCTGCACTGTAGCACCCCCAAACTCAAGAGCCCAGAATCCAGTCAGAAAAGAAGTCTGCCGACAGGGCAGCATACATTACGCAGGGATCTGTTGGGCTGCGTTTATTCAAGGACCAGGGAGTGGATACAGAGGGCTGGAGCTGTTTCCTCGACTCTGGGTATGATCCAAACTCATGGGGTACTCAAAAGCTTCCTGAGTGGCTTACACTAGGCTCTTACACTAGCCATGGCCCCAGTGGCAGCATCTACACAGAGGTCCTCCCAAAGGACCTTATGAACGGTGGTCAAGTGGAACCTCGGTACCTTGGTCGTGGACTTGCCATCGGGGGCATTAAAGACCACAGACAAATCAATCCTCCCTGACACAAGGGTCAGATCTAGTGGAATGCCCAAATATCAAGTCTCGAGAAAAGAGACCGACCCCAAATGCACCCAGTATTCCTTAATCCCACCATGAATGACCCCTTCCATGGCCATCATGCCTCCCCAGGAGTTACCCCAGCTCCACTCAAAACCATAAACCAAACCACAGGCAGTTCTACGACCACAAAGCACTCCCCAGCAGAGAACACCTTCTAAGTTTTCATGAGCTCTGGATGCTTGAACATAAACACACCCATGGGTCCTCATGGGCCCTTGGCCACCAATGCTGTTCTGTGGGGACATATAGACGACCCTGCCACCTTACCATGACTGGTGGACAAAATAAAGACACCAATGGCAGATTACCAGTCCAGCAGAGGACACACAGTGACATGCCACTTGACCACTGGACCAGGAATGGCAAAAGATTGTAGCCTGGGTTCTTTCCCATCAGCTGAGGAACACACACAGGGCTATGTTTGGACTGAGCCTCCCTTCCCACAGCTTCTCTGGCCCCCAACCAGACAGGCTCCTGGGCAGTCAAGTACTGTCATTGAAAACACTGTAGTTTATTAAGGCTCCCTCCCCCGCCCCTCCCACCCCCCCACTACACACACAGCTTCCTGAGTCATTTCCTTGGGTGGGGTAGGGGTTTCCAATCAGCACCATACAACTCCCCACCCCTACTCTGGGGGAGCATCTATAAATATTTGCGTGTGCACAGGACATATTAGCAAGCCAGAGTCAGGCAGGGAGAAACGCGCACACACACTCTCTCATTAAGGGGCAATGTGACTAATGACGTATCAAATGAGTAACCACAGCCGCACTTAAATCCAAATGAAAAACACCGTTAGTTGCCGCCTAGATCCCTCAGCAGAACGAAATTCCTGTTTTCATCTTGGAGGGGGAGGCAGCGGCTACAGACTCCTTGAGGTGCAGGGCATTTGCCACGGTTGAGCTAAAGGCCTTCCAGGAAGTCTGCCTGCCCTGACACTCTAGGAAGGAGCGTGGATCTCCCTGAGCCTTCTCCTGACCGCAGCAAGACCCCCAAGTCCCTGCAGTTCTAACAGCCAACTCTGCGCTCCTCCCTCCCTTCTGAGCACTCGAGGCCATCACACCTCTTTTGCCCACTGCTAAGACTTCTGAGGGACAGCATGAAGATTCTGCACTAGGAGAGCCTGGTAAGGCCTTGGCATGTGACCTTTGGCTACCCCACTGGACTCAGCCGGGCCTTGATCTGCCAAACGCCATCGCCCTCCTACTCCCAGGAATCTCTCCAGGTGGGGCCTTGGGGTACGAGCCTCTCCAGAGTCATGCTGGAGAAGCCTTGGCAAGCACTGTCTGGGGTGGGTTGGAGGGCTTGCTGAACAGAAGCGGGACGGCGGATACAGAGACAAGGAGGCTGCCAACCCTGTGCCCATCCACCCGAGATTCCTTCTTGGGGAAGCTGAGTGGTCAGAGTCTGTGCCAGAGACCCCGTCCTAGGCTAGGCTGGAGGGAGCGTGGCTCACGGGTACCCTAAACTGTGCCGTCTCTAGGCAGCACTCGTGACACCATGCCGAACGGATGCAGCCAGGCCTGGAGTGGGATCCGGTGTGCTGACCCGGTGACCTGCCTGCAGGGGTCACCCAGACCAGGAGGTCCACCAGGAAAGGAACCACTGGGGCCACCAAGGACCTAGAACCTGGACGTGCTGTGCAACTGTGGACTCCTCCTTCCCTGGCAGCCTCCAGGATAAGGAACACATACAGGAGAACTTGAGCTCTGGTGGTAACACTCAGTGAAGCACAGCCAGAGCCCAGGGCGGCTCAGTCCCGTGTCCCCCCCCCCCCCCAGCTCCCTGGAAGGGGCCACACGTACTGCAGCTGAGAAAGACCCTGCTTCTATCTTGGAGGTGGGGGAGCCCAGCTGATACAGGCATTGTCACCGCCCCTGCAAGACATCAAGGTGAGACCTTGCCAGGTCCTCCAGGCTCTGGGTGGTCCACAGGGAGCTCACACACCACTTTCTACCTCTCCTATCCCCACCCATGAGCCTGCCTCCCAGGTCTGATGACCTTTCCCTGTTCTCTGTGACCTGGGTTGGTCTCCATAGCGTAATTGATGGTGTGGGTTAGTCTGAATAATACAGCAGCAACAGCTCATCACCTCACTGGCCAGGCTGGAGACAGAGGGAGGACCGCAGGGCAGGCAGAACACAGGCCTCTAGGAAGCTGTTCTCCTACCAGGGGCAGTTAGGAACACAGACTGACCTGGGCTCAGTAGGCCTAATCTAGAGCAAAGCCCACAAGAAGCCAGGCTGTTGCTTGTGTCGGGTGGGATCCCCTAAGTGGGGGCTCACGGGCAGAGGAAGGAGACAAGAAGAGCAGAGTCTGCAGAGACTACCGGCCTCAGCTGGAGCCTGCCAGAGCCTACAAACACTTCAGGCCATGCATGGCACCAGTCAGTTCATTCAGACCACTTAGAGCAGAAGAGGCTTTGGGGGCCGGATACATGTGTCACACTCCATTGCGGCTGTCCGCTGATGTAAAACCTGGGCACTTTGTAATCACCTTGCTGGCATGGCCAGCCCCAGGCCCAGGGTCTGGCATGCAATCATGTTGCTATTGATCAGTGGTTCTCAAATGGTATGACATACATAGCCCCTGGGGACATCTTTGCTTATCACAATTGTGGTGAGCACAAGTCAAGGAGGTTTCCAAACATCCAACTAACTATATACAGGACCGTCGCTATAACAAAGAGCCCCCAGGCTCGTGTGTCCACAGAACTGGAGCATGGGCCAGGATGGTGTAGGCCTCCTGGCCAGGAATTCTGGGGCAGGCAGCTCAGAGCTGAGGGAAGGAGGCAGGGGTAAAGTCACCACCTCCCACACAGTTGCTTGCACCGGCCCACAGAGCCAAATATCATAAGCAGTCCCAGCCCAGTGCCCACGGGCTGAGATTTGACCCTGTGACCTTTACCTCCGGGGAGCCACAGTTGCCAGGGCCAGACCTTTGCTCTACCACTCTCTGGTGTAGGCTCCTCCAGCCCTGCCCTTCAAGTGTCCTGCTGCAGAACCAACCGGGACAGTGGTGGGGTGGTGGGGTGGTGTCAGAAGAAGGATGGGGGCAGGGGAGGCATCAGAAGGATACCATATTCCCACCAGCACACATGCTCCCGCCTCAGGACATCCAATGAGAGGCCCATGAGAAAGGCTGGCCAAGGAATACCACTGCAGGGCTCGCCCACAGCAGGAACTAACGCCAGCTCAGAAGGGGTGGAGCAAAGGGAATCTAAAGGCAGGACGAGGACATTCTGGAGGTGGTCGGTTTCCAGGAAAGGAATGAATGCGGAGAGGAGACACAGCAGACAGCACACACAGCACTCAGCAGCCCCCCCATCCCTCAGAAGCACTGCAAGCCCCTCCCCCAGCAGCTCTACCTGGAGTGGGCTTCTCGGGAGGCCGTAGGGGCGGGGCAGCTGGAAGGAAAGGAAGCAGCATCACCCTGGCAGCCTGTGCCATCTGCCCAGTCCCGTTCCTAGGACAGGGACTGGCTAAAGCCGTGAGACCTCAGCTGTGAGACCTCAGCTGTGCTGGGTAGTTTCCCCACGCTCGCTCGGGGTCAGGATAGAGACAGCAGTGTGAACTGAGCACAGGACCCCGGAGGGGAAGCAGCCTCCTGAAAGGGCCTAGGGGCATCCCCAAGACCCCAGCCAGCTCTGAGAGGCCACCAATGGGAGACACCCAGTGATGCCAACCAGATCTGCTTTCTTTCTCTTTATCTTCAGAGAATGCGTTTGCAGGCCATCGGGAACAAAGGGGCAGCCACTTTGGCTGGGGGCCCTGAGACCTCTTTTCATCAGCATTAGATCAGATAGAAAAGTCACTTCCGCCCAGCTGGCGTCACCTCCCCACCCCCCAGTCGATTTCATACTCCACATGCCACCGTCAAACCTGGCGGAAAGACCGACCACCCAGACCAGGAGGCCGTGACCCACGGGACAGTCAGATGCCCCCATCACAGGGACTAGCACACCCTTCCAGGTCCTCTGTAGGTTCACTGAGATGAGACAGGCCAGGGGGAGACATCTGGATGGGTGCTGAGTTACAGTATTGAAAGCCCACTGTACATGGGCAAGTCTGACCAACTTACCGTTTCCCTGGGCCTCTCCTTGCTATACAGCCAGGCAGGGGCTCAGCTCACAAGGACTGTAGAGCTGCTCCCAACATGGCTCTCACTACCAGCTGGTCCACATCTGTGTTTACCACAACTGCCCTTTAACTCTCTGAGTGACATATGTGGCAGGTAAGCTGGTGACTTTGTTTTACAGATAATAAGGAAACTGAGGCAGAGGTTACACCAGCTGCCCAGTGTCCTCCGGCAGACAGGTGGCACTAGTGAGCCGTCTTAAGGTTCTGCTCCGCATGACTTCTGGTAGTTGGCTCCTGAAGCCTTCACTGCTGAGCCACACAGCGAAACGCTCACTCTCACATGGCCACCTGGATGCCCTGCCTTTCTGCTGAGGCTGAACAACAGGGTCCCTGGCGAGGAGCAGCCAGAAAGACCCGGGTTCTAGCATTTCAAGTCCCCAGGAACCATGCACTACACAGGCAGGGGCAAGGTGTCAGCCCAGACATCACAGGGACAGAGCAGGAACTCTCCGAGGTGTGTGAGAAGTCGGTACACCAGGGCAGACACCAACCGGCTGAAGTGTCACCATAAAAAGGCAGGGGGAAACCAGGCGTTGGTGGTGCACGCCTTTAACCCCAGCACTCAGGAGGCTAGGGAAGGCAGGCGGATCTCTGTGAATTTCAGGGTAGCCTGGTCTACAGAGGGAGTTCCATGACAGCTAGGGCTGTTACACATAGAAAGCCTGTCTCAAAAAACAGAGTAAATAAATAGAGGCAGTGAGAGCAATGACTTTGGAGGGATACACGGACGGGGACAGCCCCACCCTCATCAGGGACGTGAGAAACAGAAAGTAAGGCTTCATGACGATTTTGGATGATGGTAGATGGTTCCTAACCAAAGACCTGTTCCAAATTCAGGACAAGAAGAACGAGCAGCAACTCGTGCAGGGACAGCACAGGCAGGGCCTTCAGGGTAAGGAAAGGCAGACAGACACGGACTCGGCTTCCAGGGCCACACCAGGGCCATACCAGGGCCACACCAGGCACTATGCTTGATGTCACCATCATTTCTGACTCACGGTGAGGAAACGGAGACACAGAAAACAAAGAGTTTTGCCTGAAGGTTAACAATGGGACAGAAATGGCTTGAACTCAGATCCACCCAGTGCCCAAACCTACTTCCTGACGGTTAACAGGAGGCCAATGTCACACCGTATGCCAAAATGCATGTGTCCCCACTCCCCCCTCCCCCCCCGCCACTCATGCTGTTAAGTCCGAACCCCCAGTCATAACCTTTGGATGAGACCCCTTAGGAGGTGGAGATCTTCATAGAGGCAAGCAAGTTAAAGTATGCCCTCATCCGAGGCGACTGAGACAAATTAGGTCAAAGACAGAAAAGTCTAAGGGCCACAGGGAGAAGTGCCACCATCAAGGCAGGGGAGGCCTCAGGCTAACCAGCCCTGCTAGCACCCTGATCGTCAACTTCCAGGTTCTTGGACAGAGACTAAGTATGGTAGCCTGTGCATTCCCCCCAACACTGGCCCTTGTGTGTGGAACTCAGCAGTCCAAGGAAATTAATAGGGCCTCCATGCCAGGAAGCACTCCCCCATCCATCCAGGTCTTCAGTTTCTCTACCTGTGTCTGGTATAAATCACGGGCTGCATTTAGCAGCCCCGTGGTACCTGGCACCGTGTGGGAGAGCGTTGAGGTTTTGGAATAGAGGGGCGCAAGGGTGCTTCCCAGCTCCCTCCACGGCCCCAGCAGCAGCAGCTGCAGCCACAGTGGGCCCTCTGGCCTCTGCGAGAGAACACCAGGGACGCTTGCTCTTTTGTGAGCTTGGCTGGCTTCTTGGCAGGTCTGGAGGCTTCATTTATCAGGCCAGCAGGGGGCTAACCGGAGGCCGCAGCGTCAATTACAGCTGCCCCCACCCGGGTCCCAGGCTGGGCACAGAGAATCTGCAGGAAAAATAATGTGCATGGAGTCCTGGGATGAATCATCTAGGAGGCAGCAGCTGTGTTGATGAAATTTTAAAGCCGACACGAGAAAGAAAATATGAACCGCACTACAGTAATTTAGCCTGTGAACACCCTGGCACATTTTTAATTAAAGCTATTTCGAAGTTAAATAGAGGCTGTGGGGGAGGGGTGGGGGAGAGGGGTGAGGGTAGGAGTCACGGGAGACTCTCTGGCCTCCCACTCCAACCCCAAGGACGCATCACCTTACAATATCACTGAGAATATGCCTCATTCCCGCTTCTCGCCAGTGGGCAATTTCTCTGCTTTGCGAGGAGCTGGGGGTTTTCTGTTGGATACGATTTCATGACAGAATCATGAAATTCCACACACCAGAGCCAAGAGGCTAAGGAGTGAGGACCATGACTATCCCGCCATCACTGTCTCCTTCTTCAAGATTTGCATGGGCAAACATGGTCCCAGAGTCACAGCATGGTGGTCTACACAGCGTCTTGCTACCTGACACAGCAACCCTCCTGCGCCTGGGTGAGAATCAGCTCCCTTCTGGGCCTAGGAGACTGGGTGGGGAGCAGCTGGGGCCTCCCCTGGCTCATGCACCCAGCTAAGCCACGCCAGGTGTTAGAGATGCGGATGAGGCCACTGGGACTCTGCAACCCGTTCCTCAAGCGGTTGGCAGTCAGATGAGGGTAAGGACAGGAATCCACAGGAAGGAACGTGACAGGGCAGTGATGCCAAAGACAGATGACAGCCCAGGGCCAAGAAAGCTCAGAGCAAGTGTAGACACACCTAGAGGTGTGCACATGGGAGGGTTGGATCCCTATGAAAAGATGAGACCAGGACGGGGCTGGCTACTGCCCAGGCCCTCAAGGCCCAGCCTCCTGCACTGGAGACACGAAGGGAAGTAGACACAGCTGCAGGTGGCGAGGTCCTCCTTGTGGGAGGGAGGCAGGGAGGGAGGGAGGGAGGGAGGGAGGGAGGGAGGGAGGGAGGGAGGGAGGGAGGGAGGGAGGGAGGGAGGGAGGGAGGAGGGAAGGAAGGAAGGCTGCTACTCTAAGGCTTTCACATTCATCTGTAGTACAAGTCCATGGCCTGGCCAGACACTTGAAACTGGGGTACAGGTTCCCAGGGGGACAAAGTAGCCCTGAGAGCAGAGACAACAAAAGTTCAAGCACAACCCCAATCCGTGCAGAAACAGGAGCATGAGCTGTTCTCTGACTGGACGGTGGAGCACACTTCCTGTGGAAATGACCCTGGGAGCAGCATCCTGAACTTGGAAAAGGGCTCCTTGCCTCCCTCCCCACAGGGACAAAGGCCACACTGAGGCTGAAGCTGTCCTGAGTTGGGGCCCTGGAACATGATGCCAGCCTTCCCTCGGCAAAGCAGTGGCCAGCCCACAGGAGCGAGCACCAGAGGGAACAAGTCCCTCCCCTCCAGGCTGGATGTGGACCTTCTCCAAAGCACAGGCTGCTCCAGGGTGGGCGTCCCGATACTGCTGGCATCACGGCTCCCTGCACCTCAGGCTCCCAGGGAGATCTGCCCCACCAACTGAGACTAGTCCCAGCAGGGCGGACCCACGGCGGTTACCCAGTGGGACTAAATTCACTGTGGGAATATGAACCTCCCAATAGCCGCTAGTGGGCAGAGGAGGTCACGGTCTTCCTGTGCAGCATGTAACAACAGGGCCTGGCATCTGAGCTATTTCTAAGGCTGTTTCATCCAAGGATAGTCACTTATGGCAGGTAAAACAGAGGATGGAGAGGCTGAGGTTAAGCCAGGGGTGAGTGGGGGGGGACTTTGTCAAGCTTGCTGGGCCCAGGCACTCTAATCAGAACATCACCAGGCCCTCTGCCATCCCCACCAACAGCAGAAAGGTTTGTCTCCTACATGTCTGATCACAGTCCACGTCGTCATCGGACACCTCCCCACCAGCAGCCATGATCACCAAGTCCCTCGTCTGCCATCCCACACAGACAATGGCACAGACCCACAGCCCCCCTTGTCTATGTGAGCAGGGCTGGGACCTAGTGAGGAACTGGCTAGCAGGAAATGGGGGTTCCATATGGGTCTGTGGGAGGAGGTAAAGTGGACCAATTTCTTCACTGGTTATGTGACCCTCATCTCCAGCTGGGCCCGGTGCCAGCCATGTGAATCCCGCATACACTGCGGAAGCAAGCAGTCACTATGGCTGGTCGGTCCTGGCCCCCTAGAGCCTGGATTAGAGTGAGGATTAGGCTGTGACCAGGCTTTCCTGAGACGGCTGGAGAGAGCGCAGGGGTAGAGAGGAAGCTATGGGAGCCCCAGAGAAGCTTTGGTCAGCTCCCAAAGCAGTGAGTGGCCCTTGGGGTACAGTAGTCAGTACTCCTGTAGTCCAGTTACCTGTGGGGGCAGCTTGTCACCCTCCAATAGCTTCGCCTTGGTCTCCAGTGGCCTGATGTAGGCGGATGAGGGATCTGAGGGACAGAGAGGAAGAAGAAGGTGTGTTAGCTACCAGTGCACTTACCCATGGGCAGACCCCACCCTACCCTGGCACTCCCTCCCTGTGGTCCCTGAAATCTGGTTTCCAGAGAGATGATGGTATATTCCGTAGCCTACATGTCCTGGGGGGTGATTCCTTCTGCTTCCAAGAAGCTGCAGGGTCAAAAGCAGTTGGCATTGTTATCTACAGGCAGAGACAGCCCACCCCAGTGTCCAAAGTCCAGGAGCCCCTCTCTACTGTGCAGTGGGGAATCTGAGGACACTGGCATGGCCAATGTGACATAAATCTCCACGGTCAGCTTGGGGGGAGTGACTGACATACAGACAGCAGCTTAGGGGGAAAGGCGCACCCTGAATGACAGCAGTGCTGTCCACCAGGCTAAGGGCTCAGGACTTCAAGCAGAACAAACGTGAAAGAAGAGAAGCCCACTACCATAGGCTTGTGCGAGCTCCCCCACCCCGCCCCCAGGAGGACACCTGTGAGGACTTCTCCAATCACGGATCAAGGGCCCAGACAACCCCACTTATAACACATCCCAAGAAATGAAGGTCACCCACCCTTACCATGCTGGCCCTGCTTTTTTATCCCATCAGAAAAACAGGCCAAAAAAAAAAATCTCACCGCCCACCACCCCCATTCTGCTGGCCCCATCTCTGGCTGCCCCAGTGGAGCAGAGAGGCAGGCCAATGACCATCAGCCTAGGCTGCGGTGGAAGACACCTAGCGTGGTGGAGTCCAGGAAAGGAAGAGACAAGCAGAAAACAGAGGGAGCTTGGGATCTGCTGTGGACAGGACAGGACAGGCCAGGCACACCACATCAACCATGTCCACTCCAGCACAAGGCCAGCTTGACCCCAGGGAGCCCACCCCTGAGGTGCTCATGTCTCATGTTGGTATCTTGCCCCTCTCCCCCACCCCTAGCCACAGGCTCTAATAAGGAACAGAGAGGGAGCCCACTGCCGCCCATCAGGAACTTAAGTCCCCAGGAGTGCCTAGGCCCACACAGGTGGGCCCCGACCTGCCTGCTAAGGGACACTTTGTTCCCCAGGGGGGACCTAAAGAACCCTCAGGAGCCCCTCCCAAACGGAGGAAAAGTCCAGGATAGGAAAAGATGTGGGAACAGGGATGCAGGGAGGAAGGCCCAGCCCACTCCCTGGAGAACAAAAACATCAAGAGCCTTCCCTCCTCCTCACTCCCAATAGTCACCTCTTAGGAATGCGGAGGCAAGGCCTGGCCAGCCCATCCTCAGGAATGGCAACAGTACCGGGCACCGGGTGGTGCTAATGAGGTGATGCCAGGGTGATGCTAATGAGTGGGGCCTGGCCGCATTGCACAAAAGCTCTGAGTTTCCAAGAATTTGAGGGACAGCTTCCTCACACACAGGAGCTGTAACTCATATAACCCAAGACGCCGACCGACGGACCACACCAGTCTCTCCACTCAGGCCCTGACTTTAAAGCCCCATGAGGAGCCTGGCCAGCCGCAGATGCCTCCACTTTCTCACGAGTCAAAGCCCAAGAGCAATTCCCGAAACTGACTCCTCACACAGGCTCCACACTTGGATATTCTGGGTCTCTCTAAGGGTGGACAGGCAAACGGGGTACAAATGGAACTCATGTGGAGAAGTGTCCTTCTGGGACACCAGCTGTGCGGCAGTCGGTCAGGTACATCCAAAGACATGCCACTATCATCATCATCACCACCACCCACTGTGAGAGCTCCGTTGGTAGAGTGCTTGCCTCCCGTGCATGAGGCCCTGGGTTCAATACCCAGCACCACTTTACAGCTACAGAACCATTAGAAAGCATCACCCGTCCATCTCTACACACACACACACACACACACACACACACACACACACACACACACACACACCACTCAACTTTGAGTTCATGTGTGACCCTGTCTCCATCCAGTTCTCCAAACTAGACTCCCTAAAATGCCAGGCCTCTGGGTCCCCCATGGGTCAGGGCAGAGAGGAAGAAGGAGAGAAGGGGGGCCTTCCTCCCTGAGAAGAGGCTCCCATTTCCTCATTGGCCCTAAAACTCACTCATGAGCTCATCGGGTACCTCCCAGGCTCCAGGAGATGAGCAGGTAATTAAATTAATCCCAAGGCCTGCAGTAATGAGGGCTAGGCCATGGGGGGTGAGGGGGGGACACGACACACCACTTCCCAGCTAAGCTGCGTGTAGGCAAAATGAAGGAAGTGATCACAGGAGAGGCCTGTGGCGAGCTGGCTAAGGTGTGCTCTGGACACACCCAATCCTCTTGGCACCCATCAGTCCGGTTCTGGGAGGGTCATGGTCCAGCTCCTGTACAGCCCACTTCCTGGAAACAGACACCTGCCCTGCTTCTCGCTCCTCGGGCATCCTCCGTTCCCTAGGGAGCCTGTGGGCAGACCTCCCCGTGGGCACTGTTCTGGCCCTGTCTGAAGAGCCCTGATCTTGTCCTGCTGGTGACCTTCAGGCCACAGGCTGCTCAAAGACCATGAGAAGAGACTGGGCCCATATGGTTTCCCCTTCTGGCTAGATGGTGCCTCTGCAGCCTCCTCTGAGGCCATGGGCTCGGGCGGGCTGTGGCAGCAGAGCCTGGGACTGACTGGTGGCTGCACAGGTAGGAAGGGTAACTCTAAGAAAGAACCTGTGTCAAGCGGGGGCGGTGGCGCACGCCTTTAATCCCAGCACTCGGGAGGCAGAGGCAGGAGGATCTCTGTGAGTTCAAGGCTAGCCTGGTCTACAGAGTGAGTTCCAGGAGAGCCAGGGCTAAACAGACCCTGTCTTGAAAAACAAACAAACAAACAAACAAACAAACAAACAAACAAAGACCTATGTCATTCACAGGCCCCTTCCCTCTCTGGCTAAAGCAGGTTCACTCATCCTTCCTTCCTTCCTTTCTCCCAGCCCTGGACTTGCCTGTGTAGGGGAAGACACAGTCTCCACATATATCTGGCAACGGGAAGCCTGCAGAAGACCGATGTGTCTTGTGTTAGGACAAACACACAGCCAGAGTGGGTCATGGGAAGTAACCAGGGCAGGTCTGGGGGAGGGGAATGAACACCCCCCCATTACCACAGAGGGACCACAGTCTTTGCCCGTGTTTCCCACGTCCTTTACTGGCTGCTTCCTCCCCAGCAGGTGCAAATCCACTCTTCACGGGTTCCCTCAGACCTTACACCGCATAGGCAGGCATCGTCCCCTTCACAGAGTACAGTAACAGCACACAGACAGCCAGAGTCACGCAGGCAGGACAGGGCCAGTGAGGACAGCCCCAGACTCTCCTCCCAGGACTCCTGGGCCCCAGCTGCAGAGGCTCCGCGGTCACCACCAGACATGACCACATCTGCTTATGAAGTGAGTGCCAGCCATGTGCCTCACAGACACCGGTCCCCACTTCTCACTGTTACACAGACAGAGGAAGAGGGCTCGGGGAGGTAGAAAGGTGACCAGAGGCCCTGGGAGCAGGTGGTCTTCCTGCAGACACCAGGACACAGCTGCAGCCTCCTCTTCCCTGCCTGGGCAGCCTTCCCCATCCTGGGCTCCATATGGCAGCAAAGGCCACCATGACCACGCTTCCTGCAGTGCTCGCCCTGCTCAACAGCAGATGGTCCTGGGCTGCCATTCCGGGTAGCTGATGCCCACATGTCAGGTGAGAAAAGTCTGGGAAGCTCCTGAGTGTCCTCTCTTCTGCTGCCGGGGCCCTCGGACATCTCCCTGGCAAGCCCCAGGATGTTCAGCTTGTGAAAGTCCACTGAGAAAAACTACTAAGTCTCATAACAACTCAAGCTATCAGAGCGGGGATGAGCTCCCCATCACTAGGGGCGAGCAAGCAAATGCTGAACAGACCCTGCGGGGTAGTAGTCTCTGCAATGAAGAAGATTCCTAGCAAGTCTGTGGTGAGGGTACAGTCATTAAGACTGCATGGGGAAGCCACCTCCCTCAGTCAACGTTAGATGGGTTCCTATTGGCCCCTCTGTCCCTCAGCGACCTGCCAGGTAGGAGGCAGAACCCTGTCTTCCAGAGTAGACTGGCTGTCGGAGAGTAAAGAGCCAGATGCCCACGGGACCAGAAAGCTCGGCATCCCTGAGAGGAGGCAAAACAGAGTGTACCTACTGGGAAGCCAGAGACTCCTTCCTGAAGGAGGTGAGCTCCGAGCTGAGCAGGACAAAAAAAGGCGGAGCATACAGGAGGCAGCCGGAGCAAATGCAGGGAGGTGTCACCTGGTGGGTCTGTGAGCGCCTGCGCCTGTGCCAGCAGCACCCATGAGCATCGAAGCTGTGTCAGCCCCCATTGCTCTCTGGCTGCCACTGCAGGCCCCAGAGGCTCAGGCACTGTCTGTGGATGGAGCAAGAGCTCCTGGAGGTGTATCGAGAAGGGCCCACCAGGCAGGTTGGGAGGTCTGGGTGCCCTCCCCTAACCGTCTTCAGTCTGCCAGTGGGTGTGTGGAATGGTACAAGACAGCGCGGCTGCTACAAAGTTCTGGTGTCCAGAGGGACTGAGAGGAGAATCTTTTCCCACTCGTACCACAGTTCCAGTGAATACCCACTGTGTCCCAAGTGTGAGGCTCTGCCAGAGCCTGAGAATGGATTTCCAAAGCAACCCCTCTTCCCTCTCCCCGTCTCACAGCAAAATTATCCTCACAAGACACGGAGACGTCCACTCTCTTATGGGACCTCAGGCTCTAGATGCCCTATTCCGGATTACGTTAACCGTGGTCCTCTCCACCAGCACAGAGCACCGTGTGACCAACCCTCGGGTCTGTCCTCCACACGGCTGTGTTACTCTTCACCCACAGCTCAGTCCACGTAGACTCCCTTCAGTGGACCCCAGAGTCCCACCGCCCAGGCTTACCGCCCACCTGGGCGTGTTCCTGTTTGCGCTGTCTCAGTGAAGTGCTGTTCATCAGGGTCTGCCCGGAGGACCCTCTTTAATTTGCTGCAGGGCATGTGATCGCCACCACTGCCTGCCACTGTCTCGAG